CTGAAAGAATAAATGTTGTTTTAGAAAAAGGGAAGGACTCTATCCTGATAGAAAATAAGGCTTTCATTCATAAATCAATGTTCTCTGTCCTATAGCATGAGTTTAACTAGGCTTCTGTCTCTTTCCTGCTCTATTTCTGTTACTCTTACTGACAGGCAGAAAATCTGCAGTGCTCTGTTGAGACTTGACATGTTCCTGAGCTCTCCTAAAACAAGGCTTTTCTTCTTCCTTCCATGTTTGTAGTATGCATTTTCCATTCAGTCACGCTCCATCTGTAGCGCTTAGGGTGGTCCTTATTTGTAGTCCTATTTTACTGACAATGCCAAATTGTATCTGCCTTTGCAAGCTGAAATCTTCGACTGTTTGAGCATGTTGCAGCATTTCACCTTCACAATACCCAACAGGTATTACATTATATTTCTGTCCTTCATGTTTAAAACAAAATTTTTAACGTTTTCAAACCAGCTCAAATAAGTTTTGGCTGTAATTTTTGCTAATTGATATGAATTAATCTGACTAGAAATAAGTAGAAATAGCTCCTTGAAAGGTTTGCTTAAAAATGAAAATTCTGTCATGGCCTTCCAACTTTGTATGGCTTTCTTTCTTTTGCACCACACAAAATAAGATATTTTGAACAATGCTGGAGTCCAAACAACATTAGACTCCATTGACTCAATTTTGAAAAACCACCAAATTTTCAAAACATCTTATTTTGTGTTCCACAGATGAAAAAAATGAGGGTGAGTAAATAAAGACATAATCGTCATTTTTGGGTATATTATCCCTTTAAGGTAAGAACGGGACATTTTTACATTTAAGTTTTAATTGTGAGGTTGTGATTTGTATAAGAAAATAGAAGTTTGATACTTGTCAATATTTTTGCAATTCAGTTTGCTACCATATAAATGAGACACGTCACCTTTTAGATCCTTTTTAGGTTAATAATTATGCTTTATTTAAACATAACATAAATGCAGTAGAACTGGTCTCACACAGTCACAAATGCACACACTCTTTAAGAGCACACGCTATCAGTCTCATAGGATAGAGTTTCCACCGGTAACGGCTCCAGTAGGCCTCTGTCTCCGTTCCTGTCTTTGTCACTGCAGTGCGGCCCCTGGCCCCTAATGAGGAAACCTGCTACTCGGGGATCGAGATCACATTCACAGACCCAAACACACATACACACAGTCTTCTTTCTCTCTCTCTCTCTCTCTCTCTCTCTCGCTCTCGCTCTCTCTCTCTCATCCTGCTCCCAGGCACCTCAGCCAAAAGATTGAGAGAGTTTGCAGCAGGGCGAAAGGCTGCGGGCGTGGAGGAGTGTGTGTGTGTGTGAGTACAGGAGGAACAGGACTGTCAGTAATACATAATGTATCCAGAGGACCACTGGGACCGCTGCACAAATAGGGGCCCAGGGACACCACCAAGAGGGAAAGAGGCGATGGAAGGTCATAGCTGCAGGGGGGGTAAGGAGGCCCCTTTCGGTGTGTGTGGTTGGGGGGTAATCTGATACACAGTGTGGCCAGAGTCCCTCGTGCTCATATATATGCTCTCAAGACTCAAGGCAGCCCTTGCATTGAAATCCAAGATGGCGGACGATATCTTCTCCTTGTTTTTCTTTTCCTTCAGGGGTGGGGATGTGCCTCATTAGCTATTGTAGCATGTTTGTTGGGCTCCATCGGACCCAGTCTCCATGTCTACTGTTTGCGGCCTGGCTTTTGAAGCTGCATATATGGATTCCTAATCAAGATCTCAACCTGAGCTGAAAAACCTGCCCAGGCTTCAGTGCATCTCCTCCAGAACAAAGACAGAAACATGCACACACAATTCTTGCTGGAATACGGTACAATAAATAAACAAAAGGCCTGAGATGTATAACAAGTAGAACGCCACATAAAAACACACTTATTATGATTTACATGCACTGGTTCTCATTTCCTCTCTGCGAGTTTGTGTTGTGGCGTCTCTAACGGCGGGTGTTTTAAGGTCAGTGTTCTGACCTCTCTCGCTGCGGATCTACCATTTGCTTTTCTAGCTGCCCACACACTTCACCTTTCAGCCCAAATGGAAAAGAGAAAGAGAGAGAGGAAAACACTTTGTGTACTGCCTGCATTTTTGTCATGCTGCTACATGCTATCTCTCCGTCTCCTTGACAGCATCCGCTCTCGCTCTCTCTCTCTGTCTCTCTCTCTCTCTCTCTCTCTATGCTCAGAGCTTCGGAGCCTTCGGGAGAAAAGGAGGGACATAGATAGTTTTAAAGAGAAGAAAAATAGAATGAGGGAAAACCTAGAGAATTTTACTTCATTAAAGGGGTCATATGATGCGATTTCAATTTTTCCTTTCTATTCTTTACTTACTCTCACTCACTGAATGATTTTCATTTTTCTATAGCAGTTTAGCAGAAAATGTATGTTACTCTTTTCCATTCAATCAAAGTGAGTGAAGATAAGTTATCAACCTTGACAAAAAGCCCATACAATTCTTTTGAAGCCCCCGGTCACCTTCAACTTTCATTGTATAGAAAAGAGCAGCATGCCCATTTTGCCATCAACATCTCATAAAAAAAAGCTGTGTGAAACTCTGTTATACACATTTGTGAAGCAACATGATAACATGATATTTGTGAAGCAACATAACATAATATTTGTGAAGCAACATGATAACTACTTAACATTGTTTGAAAAAGACATCTGTCAGGCTTGACTTATACATAGTGACACATACAAACAGCACTTTTTGTTCAGAAATCTAACTGAATTCAGATTATTTTGCTGTATAGTATATAGTGTACACTTTGAAGTTTCTGCGTAAATCAATTTCAGTGTGAATATGATCCACCTCATTAGATGTAAATTAGCTTTCATGATGATCAAGTTTGTAATAGTTTTTAATAACCCGTTCCTAATAACCAGAAATCACTGGCAACAAACAGCAGCAGTCGCACAAAATATTTGCACAATGTATAGAGATTGTGTGTTATTTAATTTGATGGCAGTTGTGTAGATCAGAGGTTAAGAGGCAGAGTGGCAGAGATTACAGTGGATGATGGGAAATAAGGATATATGTGTGTGTGTGTGTACTTAACCATATTTTGGGGACAAATTTGTACCCAGAAGTGAGCTATACCTGACAAAATCTCCAAAAACCTCCCTTTGGGGGACGTCCTCATTTGTAAAACTGGTATAAAAATAAAGTAAACAAAGTTTTTTTTAAATTGTAAAAATGCAGAAAGTTTTCTGTAAGGGGTAGGTTTAGGTGTAGGGTTGGTGTAGGGCAATAGAAAATACAGTTTGTACAGTATAAAAACCATTACGCCTATGGAATGTGCCCATTTAGATAGCTAAGTAAACATGGGGTGTGTGTGTGTGTGCGTGCGTGCGTGCGTGTGTGTGTGTGTGAATTTATTTGTAGGTGGAAATTCATACATTTACTGCTTTTGAAATCATCATCTCCCAGCCAAACACTTGTAAGCCTCTGATGTCATACTTGCATGATGAGAAGTAAATCACCATAGTGCAGTGCTGATGACATCAAATAGATTTTGCTTTCTTCTATTACTGTTGTGTGATGCTTGATCTCACTGTCTGATCTGGATTCAGGTCTTATCAGTCGTCACAGACATGCAGATCTCTGTTTGGACTTGTAAAGCATGAACATCAGCTGTGAGAGGGACCGCTCAAAGAAATGTATCAAATAGAAATACTGTATGTTGCTTCATAACAGGTTTTTGAGTAGTTCTATTTTGAGTTGTGTTAAAGGGGTCATTTACATTTTTACTTCCTTTCCACTTGTTGCCAACTATATTTTATACATTTACAGCACTATAATAATGTACTTAAAGGGGAGGTCTAATGCTATTCTGACTTATTCAAAATTCTAAGGAGTAGGATTCTCATGCTAAACATGACCAAAGTCTCAAATTACGAGTTGGACATATGATGGAGTATTTCTGTGCCAAATACACTCCTTCAGGGTTCGTATAAGTTTTGGAAAGTTATTTTTTCTTCTCTCGAGTATGGCCTTGTATGACATCATAAAGGGGCGGAATTCCTTGCATGGGCACTTCTCCCGGAAGAGCGCGAGCACACATCAACCAGAGCGAGAGCAAGAGCAGCCCATCAAACGTGCCTCATTCAGGTTACAGAAGTCGTCGGCAGTGCTGCACAGGACTTGCTCGAGAAGGATTTTACATTTTGTTTTTGACCACAAATTCAACAGTCACCAAAAAAATGAGTTTTTGGTTGTGAGGGAAAGATAACCTTGTTCAGCTTCCCAAAGAACCCAGCGTTAAGGGAATTATTTTTGTCGATCTCACAGCTTGCAGACGATGGTTACGCAAAAGCTGCGCGTGTTTGTGATTCTTTAGCTCCGCCCACGGCACGCCTCCAGGAGCTCGACTGTTTTCGGAGAGAATCATAAAGCTGTATCTTTCTTTTATAAGTCTGATAAAACTAAAGACTCTTCGGTGATATGAAGGATGCAATACTACTATATAGGTACTCAAGATTAACATGAGATTGGCTAAATCTGTGTGTTATGCCCCCTTTTTTAAAAAAAAAGCTTTTAATTTTTGTTGAGGTTTCAGATACTACATGTCTGTTTTCTGCAGTTTCACATGCCCATTTTTTACAGTTTATTTTTAATAAATGCTGTTTTTGGATTGGAGAGGGAGCACCTTTGAATAAATCATGATATGACCATGAAATCTAGAAAATAGAAAGCTGTGGTTGAAATGAGTGTCTGCACATGGCCAGTTTTAGTTATGTTGGTGAGTCAGCTCAAGCCCAAAGCAAGCAAAATCACAGTATGAAATCATCCATGATCTCTTCTCTTCCATGCAAAATGGTGAAGCAGTCAATGTAAACAATGTGAACCAGAAAATGTAAATCCAAACAGAAATGCAGCCAAACAGCAAATGTAAATTGTTTATGTTGTGTTAACCTATAGAAATGGTACTGCTCAACCACTGACTATGAGCATTTGTTCTTCTGTTTCCATAGGGACATCAGCATGAACAACATCACTGAGCTGCCTGTTAATGTCTTCAGAAACCTGCCCTATCTGGAAGAACTGTGAGGATGATTTCTGTTTTCTCTCTCTTTCACTATTTCCCCTCATGCTCTGTTTTCTTTTTCTTATATATTCTTGACACTTTTTTTCAAACACCATCATGGAACATCTCCATGATGATTTGAGATGATCTTTTGCTCTGTCATCATTCTTGAATATTCTTGTCTATTTTTAAGATTTTGAAATGTTTATAGAACTGCAGAAACAACTTTGAAGCTAAATCCACATCCAAATCACTGCTGGTCTCAGTGCCAGCTTGTTGGATTATGCGAGCTCCATTGTCTTCATTTCTTTTGATAGTCACTACATTGTGTCACTGTCCATTTTCATAAATTAAAGTCTGCTAAACAGTGTTGCTCATGTCACCTCAGATTGCCAATTTTTATTGAAAATGAATGACTTCCAGACAATTTGACTCTGCGATCACCGTTAATGCTTTAGTGCTGTTATATGAGGCTTCAGGCTCATTGCCACAGAAAATCCACTCAGGTGAATATTCAGTATAACAGCACTATTGCAAGTATAACACGACTTTCTTTTCTGTATCATTTAAGCCGTATACAATACTTGCACAAAATAATGTTTATTATTTAAAATAAATCAACATTAAAATAAAAGATAAACTTAAAATTAAGATAAAATCATTTACAGACAAACAAGCTACACACTGCCTATTAGAGCTTGAGATTTCCCTTAAAAAAGTCCAAAGACCAATTAGAGAGAATAAGCGGGGAACAGATTTGGCCACCCACAGCACCATCAGTGTGGTGCAGCACATCTGGCACAGTCTCATAGCTTACAAAGTACTGTTAGTCAGAGCATCTCAGGATGCTACGGGTGTCAGATGGCTTTTGAAGCTACATCTAACTTCAAGATTCAAGATTTTTATTTGTCACATACATGGTTATATACAGAATATATGACCAGCAGTGAAATGTAAGTCAGGTCCGCCCATGGACAGTGCAATTATTAAAGAATGCAAACACAAGAAAAATATATATAAATATAGGTATGGAAAAAGATTAAAAAAAAAAATGAATAAAATAAAATGTGCAGGACAGTATACTGTAGACTTAATAAATATTAAGA